ATTTATATATAGTTTTCAAAAACTTGTTTTTCTTTTTAAAATTTGATTTTAGGCATTAAAAATATTTTAAAAAGTGATACACCAAAACATATATATACACAGAGAGAGGTATGTATAATTTTTAAGAGCTTAATTTTAAAAAGTAGGAAACTATAAATAAAATCATTATTATCAAACCAAGGTTGAGTTATTAATTTGTTTAATTGTGTATTAATTTTATTAATTTTTTTAGTACAGTTTTATTTACTTAATTCTAGTTCAATTTAATATTTTAGAATTAAATAATAAAAAGTTAGTTAAGCCTACCTAAACATTTATATTAAAGAAATGCTACGCCAATATTTGACTTTAATATATTCAATCAGCCTCTCCTTATTTTTATTATTGAAAAAGATATTTAGAGTTCAGAACTTAAAAGCTAAGATTTATTCTATTAGATCCAATATTTTTTGAAATCTTTGCTTCTGTTTTTATTTTGTATTTTTTGAAAAAATTAATCCTCGAAAATTTAATATATACATTATAATACTGCAACTTTTCTAAAAATAGTTTTAAATTAGATTAACATAAACATATTTTATTTTTATTTTATAATTAAAAAAATTATATTTACCAGTATCTTCATTTAGGGTTTTAATTTTTAAAAACATTATCCATAATCATAAGCCAATTTAAAAAAAGGGAAAAATAAAGGCTTATAATCTACCATTTTAGTTTTCAAAATTTGACCATAATTTCAAAATCATTTTAAAGAATTCTCTAGAAAGAAAATTAAAATACATATTTCTTTACTGAAAAAAGGAAAAGAAATTCATAGAAATTTCAAGAGCTGCTGCTGAAGTTTCAAATACTCAAATAATACTTCCCTATATTGGGTTGCATAATCTTGATGATTTTTATAGATTTTTATTTTTATTTTATTTTTATAGAATTAAAAAATTTCTTCCCATGAGCTAACATTTTTCTTCCTCTAAATTCCACCAATTTCTTAAAATTTATGTCATATAAGTTCATAATCAACCAATTTTAATTTAAAAAAAAACACCGAAATATTAGAGAATAACATGGTCTAAATAAAAAAACTTGTATTTGCAGAGAGAGAAACAGAGGAGTTGTAGGAGAGCAATTACAGTATCAGTTATAGTTGCAACTAATTCCATTGAAGATTTGAAGCCAAGGCCTGCAAATTCCTCTCCTCTTACGCCAATTGGCTTCCTCGACAGAGCCGCCACCATCTACGGCGACTGCCCTTCAGTCATCTACGGCTCCACTTCCTACACGTGGTCTCAGACCCACCGTCGATGTCTTCAACTCGCTTCTTCCCTCTCATCCAACGGCATCCACAGGGGCCACGTCGTCTCCGTCGTCGCTCCC